TAACTTTATAAACTATGATAGGTAATGTTTTATTCTTTGTTTTAAATTATTTTGTTAAAACTTAAGAGCGATATAATAAAAAAGGGAGAAGGCATCCAGAGAAGATTAATGTCACAAGTTAATCGTCCAATGGACTGTATTCAACAAAGTCAGCTATGTAATAGGCGTTGACCTAAACTTCTAAGTGCGAATTAGTTTCTAATGACGTGAAGATAGACCATCCATCAACATAGACGTCGTCCGCTGGGACAGTCGATCAATATAACAAGTAGTCCTAATAAAGTGTACATACATATATCATTGATTAATAACACCCAGATAGAGTGGTCTCACTATAAACGCTCAACAAAACCGCCTAACACTTTTTAAAAACCGCGCAGTTTTTTATGTTTATAAATGTTATTAGGTTTTATCTGACTTTATCCACATTGCTAAGATAAAAATAACCTTCTGTTTCCATCTCAAATACTATATATATCAAATTTCGTGTTGCCATCACTGTAAGTGTGTAGGCGTGGTATGTACCATTAAAGTGCCAACCGGTGTTAAACATACTCACTTTTCACATCTAAGATATATAAATAAAAATAATTTGATAAATATGTTACTAAACCTAACCGCAACAATCATTAGATTGTTTCTGTCAAAAGTTATTAAAGTCTTTGACAGAAAGGCGTGTGTCGGGTCAGGTAGTTAAATATAGAATTATCCATATTAATCTCATAATTGATAAATGTTGCTATAACTACAAAAATAATAATGTTATTTATTTATCCATGGTTTACTTTTCACTTTCTATAGTGCAAAAAACAACAAATCAACTTATAGTAATTTAACCGTTTTTCTGGAATGTTTTTAGTATTCGACGCCCTATCTATTCGCTTACGATATAACATGTACAACATGCGTTAAAGTTAAATAAACTAACCACTATCACTAAGACCGTTTTTCCCAAAGGCAACGGGAGTAATTTAAAGGTACACGAGTGCCCTTTTTATTGTAATTACAGGTAATTCAATTAATTGGTTCACATATTGGTTTAGTCCAGACATTTTCAATATATTAAGATGTGTATCGACGGTAGATATTTAGTTCCTAGACAAAATTTCCTTGCATGTAATAATAATTCTTTTTTATGGATTTTGACCGGTTATAACCGGTCTAAAATGTACACAGAGGATTGTTTCTGTTGTAAATAGCAGGGTGCAATAATAATAAACTAATAAGTTTAGTCAAAATATACAAGACACGTAATGAAAATCTGAAACAGAACGAACATAAAAATAATACATTGTTCTAAAAAACCTCACTGTCAACAGCCAGTATTAAAACTTCAACAGTTTCTTGTCGGAATCTAATGGTGCAGAAAGCCAAAGTTTGACCGACTGCAAGATAAATTATCAACATTTATTTAGCATAGACGAAGACATAAGATTGTATAACGTAAGATTTAAGAATTAAAATTTTAATTCGACTATGACTTTTATATATGTGAAATTGGCCTCTGCTATTGTACAAGCATACTACCACATTTATGTAAACTTACTATGTTTTGTATCTAACGAAATTGAACTTATGATGAACAATTTAATAGCTTATGATCTATGACCAACAGAGTGCAGACAATTCAGGTATATTGTAATATTTCCCATAGTACCCATTTACCTCCCACAAGGTGTATGGGTCTGCATAAAGTATTTTCCATACGTTAAAAAAAAACAATATATATATAATATAAAAAGGTCTTGTCTATAATATATTACAATATAAAAAGGTATATTATAATATATTATAGACAAGACTTGTAAAGACATCATTGTAATAAATAAGTAAAATTTCCGCAAATATTTCATTCAAACCAAGCATCATTAAAAAGACTTATACTTTCAGAAGTCAGCGGCGGGACCTTAATTATTATATCATAGCACCAAGTTTCTAGACGATGAAGCACTACGTTAAACGAAAATTTGACAGCAACATGCAATCAGACGACGATGCCAATAAGGAGGCCTAATAATACTTCCGTCATACGGAACCTCTGAATAATGTTAATTAACTTGTCAGCGAGCTATTTAACATAAAATTTCCAATTTTCAATGAATAATAATTTTGATGCATAAAGGAAAGTTTCAGATAAAATCCTCTTCATAGATCTACCGATATTATAAGTTTTGACGCTCCGGTTCAATGCAAGCACTTCTGAGGAAATTCCTCAACAATTCTCGGAAACAAAACAAAACATAAATCAAAACATTTCCTACGCAAAATACTGTCCTTATCTTCTCACAAGAGTACCCTGTTAGCATCTGTAATGATGTTTTGATAGCACCTACTTTGGGATACGACTATAATTAAAATGTCGTTAACAAAAAAACTTCGTACACTGGAAAAAATATCAGCGGTCCCAAATTAAAACGGGTAACACATATTTCAAATGCAGCCATCATAAACTTTGTGTAATTTTATTGTTAACGAAATGTTTCATTGAAAGTTTAAAAAATAAAAAAAATATATTCTATAATAAATACAGTGGGTATGAGTACAATTATTCTAAGCAATAGCGCTTAATTTATTGAAGTAAATTCCATTAAACTCGCAGTACAAACAATGACTTAATTCAATAATTTAAGATTATATATACAAAAAAAAAATACATCGACTTCAATAATGTTAAAATCAGTTATTTTGGATCTGAAATTTAATTATCAAACCGATTTTGATCAAATTTTTTTGCTACCTAGCTGAATGCATATCCTTTCATTAAAAATTAATTTTCCAAATTATTTTATAAATGACGAAACTTTAAGGTAAATAACGACTTCTCTTTTTTTAAGTCAGTCCAAAATAAATATAAGCAATACATGAATATACAAAAAAGAAATCTGGACAATTATAATAATTACTTGGATGTCGAACTTAATTGATGGAATGTGATATCCATATATTAAATTACATACATACATACATATCTGTCACGCCTGTCTCCCATTAGGGTAGGCAGAAACAATGGAACGCCAAATGCTTCGATTCAAACAAACCTCTTTCGCTTCTTCCACATTCATCAATCTTTTCATACACATTCGCCGGTTACGGGTACTTTGAGGTATATGAAGGTACACGAGTAAGGTATATCTTAATATATACAATATTTTATATACTGGTATACGCAGGCAAGATCCCTGTAGCTAGAATAATAGCTAGTAAAAATAAATAATGTGACCAGTTTCAAAATTTTATTCCAATCATTAAAGATTTTTTTTTTATTTATTGGCTCCCCCTTTGAGGAACCCGCATGAGACCGGATAATAAGTTCCAGTTTATTTATCAGTTTAAATTTTTATTCAGTAATTCTTAATTTGTCATGTATCCCTCCCAATCATCCGTCCCATTCACACATTTATTTGTACTTAATTAGCGTGGCATTTCCTTGATCTTTTTGCAGCCAAGTAGTTTAGGTTATTATTTGAGCTGTATATGACACCGCCCCTCGTTGTGGTTATTGATTTTTATTCAATAGATTGGGTAAAGAAATATATTACAACATTTGTTTAAAAGATAAAATATTATCTTTTCAATGAATTGACGTATTATGTGTTTTTTTTTTATTTGGACAACGAGAACACGTTAAGAGGTACAGTTTTTGTGAGCCTCGCTCGTATATTTTATAACGATAAAGAACTCGAGTGAATAGACACGTTTTCTTTTCCCAATTCACTTATGCCCGGTTTTTCCTGAAAAACCCGTAAACTGCCAACAAAAGAGTTCTCACAGCTGCAAATCCATCAAACTCTGAAATAGCCGTTCACATTAACATAATACCGTTCATCATATTCCACAAAGTCGTAATGTGAACTGAATTTCATAAAGGAATTGTGGCTCAACTATACTTTGTTGTGATATTTTGGTTATTATACAAAAAAGATGAACATTCAGAGACTAAAAATTAAATAGAAAATGTTCAATTGATATATACTCTTATTATGAATGTAAATAATATATTACTTAATTTTATAATACCTTAGTTTTTTTAAAACTATTGTTTCTTTATGAGCATTTCCTTCACTTGTTCTAATTTTAATCCGTACAAACTTTATTGACTAATATATTACTTATAAATTGTGTAATTATCATAGGTATTTTGAAAACTGTATGTTTGTCTTAAATAAATAAATATAATTAAAAGTAGAATTAATTACTTCAAAGAAATAAAAATCAATGATGGAACAGATAAATGATCAATCTAGAGATATTTGATATATACTCTTATTATGAATGTAAATAATATATTATTTAATTTTATAATAACTTAGTTTTTCAAAACTATTGTTTCTTTTAGAGAATTTTCTTTACTTATACTAATGTCAATTTATGCAAACTTTATTGACTGATATAATACTTATTAATTGTGTAATTATCATAGGTGTTTTGAAAACTGTATGCTCGTCTTAAATTTAAAATAAATAAATATTATTAAAGTAGAATTAATTATTTCAAAGAAATAAAGTCAATGATGGAACAGATTAACCAAATTCAACTTTAAAAAAATCAATTATTACGTAACGTAGACGATATTATTACGGTAATAAAAATTCTATTTAAATTTAAGTAAAAAAGTGTTTAATGGTTGATAAAATTTACCAATTAATATATCCTGTAATTAAAATGGGTAGTAGAAAGATGATTTATCACTTTACGACAGGTTTATTTAAAAGTACTCTATCTCGCTGATTTTTCCTCTATCAATCATTTTAAATTGACTAAAGAGATTAAAGAAAAAGACTTTTTGAGATAAACATCAGCTGTCGTGATTATGATATTTTACTCTGGTAAATATGATTTATGACGCATTGACTTTTAGGGCATTATTCAATTTTATGTTCTGATAGTACAAATATCTCAATTAAATAAATCTATAACATGAACACATCGCAACTAAATTTTAAATAGGAAACAATATATTACAAAAGGCAAACAATAATGTGCATTTATTTTTGTTTCAGATAAAGCGGAACCATGTTATGAATAAGAGAAGATATATCATGAGAATTATTACTTACCGACATGATAATACACCAAAGAAATAGAGAAAATGAAGCAAACGTCACATAGTGGGGGGAAATCCGACTTTAGAACTATGGCAAATTCAACACAAGTGCCATATTATTACAAAACTACGTACCATAGCTCTACAACGTACCTGTACCCATCAAAACGACCCCCCGACGACGTGACAGTAGAGGAAAACCATACAATAATAGTTAAGACAAGACAAGCATTCCAAAAAGTAAACTATAGAAATGGTACGAATAGTACGAATGGGAATTTTATGATGTTAGTAGAAGACTTTAGTGATTACTTCTATGGGAATACAAGTAATGATGTATTTAGTGAACATAACGCAACTCTAGATGTATTAAATGATGTATATGAGTATGCGAATTGTTCATTCAACGGTACATTCAACGTTTCTTGCTTCAACAGAGCAGAATCAACACCAGAGTATAATCTTTGGGCGCTATTGTTGTTAATATTTCCTTTTTTTACTTTATTCGGGAATGTATTAGTGATAATGAGTGTTGTAAGGGAGCGAACACTTCAAACTGTGACCAATTACTTTATAGTGAGTTTAGCTGTGGCTGATCTTCTAGTCGCGGTAGTTGTTATGCCGTTTGGAGTTTACTATTTGGTAAGTTTATTATATTATATATTTAACAAAAAGAAATAAATATTAAATATTTGGATTACCACCATTATTAACATATTATAGATTCGCATTTATATACTACTTTTTGTATATTGAGAATCTTTCATATTTATCTAGAATAAGATATGTAAATATAAAATATATTCTAAAATGAAAAAAAAAATGGAATAACATCATTTATCTTTTCGTTTGAGAGATTCTTTTTATCTTGATATTATTATGATGTTTTCAGAGAAATTGTTAAGTAGTGGAAGATGTTCAGTGTGATTTGAAAATTTAAAGCTGCCATTTCACTTTCACTTTGAAGTGAAATGAGATTCTAGACAACAAACAAAGTAGTAAGTTTGCCTGTAACCCGGTAAAACGTGGAACTAACCACTGAAAGTTCATAGTTCGACCTAAACTAAATACTAACTCAGTTTCAGTGAATGCCTTGTATCAAATGAGCCTAGTGAATTTATTACAATCTATTGTAGATATAATTTCTGATAGATTTGTTAACATATAAAGGTAATATACCTTCAACTCGTATGTTAACAAATTTTGTATAATACTAATAACATTTAGTACCTTTAGACATGTACAAACCTCATGTAATTACGTTTGGTTTATGAAGGTTGGTAATCTTAAATAAATTACAATTGTTGGTACATTTGTACCCAAATAATAATAATAGTTACACGTTCTTGCATTGTTCTTGTTCTTTCGTAACAATATTTGCTTGTTTTACAAAAAAACTATTATTATAATTTTTATTATTTATTTAGTTATTTTAAAATTATCAAAAAAAAACATCATCCCAAGATTTTAAACACCGTAAAAATGTGATGATTTTTTAGTTTTTAAAATAGCATCTGGAGCTATTGGATAATTGCTGAATTATAATTATCTTACTAGAACAACCAACAACGTAAACTAAATTTTGATGTTAACAAGCACCGCACGTTATAAGAAACTAGGCAACTAAGAAAGTAAATCTAAAATATCAATTAGAAAAGATTATAACCTAAATTGGCTTGATCAAGTTTCAACTAACTACGTATTTTAAACCCCAATTTACTGGAATACTTATTTTATAATCATTAAAAACAAAGAAAATGAAGGTTAAAAATGAAAATATACCTATATATTATATCTATATACCTATATTACACATACCTACGTTAAATATTGAAATATATGCCAAAATATATGCTAATTTTGCTGGGGAAAATTTCGATTCTATTTATGTTGAGTTATAAGATAACTGACTGGAAAGGTGTTATACTTAAATGAAAATTTCAACATTATGAAAATATGCTTCTGAAAGCAGAAGGGTAAGTGATACGAATGTAATACGGGTATATCTGTTATTATTTTAAATGTAATAAATTGCTGTAAAAATATTTGAAATCATGAAGTTATATGCTTAATTGGAAATAGACTTAGAATTTATTTTTAGAAATGATGATATGAGTATTTATTAAAAAAATTATACATACTAAAAAATTTGATTAAATTGATTGCGATATGGTGTACTGTACTGTACATACTCTGTCTTATATATAATACAAAGTCGGACTAATTCTAATAAATATTGACATCTGTAGTAAAAAGCTAAAGTGGATATGGTATTTCTGGTCGTATGAACTCCATCATAGATCTCATTATTATTTTGTATCAGGAGAGATTAGACTGTTAAAAATAAGAAAATAAAAGATTTGTTGACTAACAACAATCTTATTACAATTATTTAAATTACATGACAGAACTATACAATATGACCACAGTAGTATTATTGTATGGTATTTATTTATTTTTTATTATACAATAAAAAAATTTACAAATGCCATATGGCATTCTCTATTATGGTATATTGCTTAGTATCGAAGTTACAACAATGATGCAATAGTAAATTAGTAACATATACTGTTATTGATTACATTTTCCTTTATTATAAATTGTCTGGCTGTATTATCCGCTGACATTTATGCTTCTTTCTATTTGAGTTTGCTAGAAGAAAATTCTTTCAAAGTTCAGTTCGCTTTTGTATACTTGTTTTCCATTGATAAGTATCTGCATGTAAGCATTCTGAGCGTGCACAATAAATTATAAATAAACAGATACTTTATATATAGATACCTCAAGGGTAGAATAAGGTTAAGGATAGGGACAAAATTTATGTGATGTGTGCCTCGGTGGCAGAAGCATGACATCACTACGTTAGTCTACTTGTGATCCTGGCCGGCAAGTAACCTAGTTTCAAGTAAATTATACTTAAATAATCGCATTAATTCCTGTTTTTTATAAATCATAAATATAGATATTGGTACTAATTATACAATTACTAGCTTATACTCGCGACTCCGTACGCGTGGTCGGGATATGCTTACTACCAGGATAAAAGTAGCCTATAACATTCTCCATCCCATATAATATGGGTATACTAAATTTTGATAGTAATTGGTTAGACCATTAAAGCACTATAAAATAACAAATAAACAAACAAATTAATTTATAATATTGATAAGGATGTAAATAATAAAATAAGTAAAAAAAGTTAAACGAAAAAAAATGTAGTTACTGTAAAAAATAAAATGAAATAAAAAAATCGCCGTAACAAACTTTCTTCGTTAGGTATAAATCGAGTCCCCTCCCCCCCCCCCCATCCACAGAAAAAACAAAATTTAATTAGACTAAGATATTAAGACAAAGAATAAGATAAATCATTCAGTATATAAACATTACTAAGGATATTCTAGATATGCCGTCGTCACGGAATTTCAATTTCAGTAGACAAAATCCCTTACGTGGGTGGTAATTTCACTAGATTTATTAGTCTTCAAACGGAAGCGATTATGTGAAATATGTAAGTGGGAAGATTTTAGATAAGAAAATAAAAATTGTAAGACATAAAAAAAACTCGCAACTATTAATTTCAAATAATATTAATGTTTAAATAAATAGAGCATTACCAACAAGAATCGGTTCGAAATTAAATCGTATTTTAAACTATTCTCTAGTAAGTTATCTTATTTTTGTTTTGAAATAGTTTTATTTCTATAAGAAGTGTCTATCCTATTTTTCATTAAAAATTTTAAAGGTTATAGTTGTTTTGTCAATTTATTAACAATAATCAATTTATCTGTTACTGTCATTTTGTAATCTATCTATAATTGTATATTATGTGAAACCATTAAAATTTCCTGTAAATGACATAGTGGCTATCAAAAATATATTATCATTAACATTTCAGTCATTTAACGCTTACTGCTACCATACAAAGAGCTTGTCCATAGCTTGCAATAAAGAAGGGTCCTATGCCATTACCATATATATCGACCCTTTGTAATCTTTTTAATTCCTTCACTTCATCAAGCCAAATTAAATGTCAGTTAATGACATAAGATATATAGACACAAAATATATACATATATAAAACAGATATATTATAATTTGTATATATGTTACTCTTAAGTAGTTAAGTTCGTACTGATAAATCTTAGAATTTAAGATAGTTGGTAAATGTATGAATTTTATAAAAAAAAATATAGGTGATATTTTAGAAAAAATAATATTAAAGTTCTTAATAAAACAAATAAAAATCTAAACAGTAGTTTCAAGAAATTTTGTTACTCTCTCTGTCTATATATTTATTCCGGCGTCACGCAAAAAACTACTGCACGAAATTAGATGTACATAGTTGTATATCGGAAGGTCTAAATTATAATTATGTTATATGTTTTATCTTGATACGTTGGGTGGTGGTTAAATAAATACTGATAGATCTATGTATTTATTGTGAAATACTAAAAAAATTTTTCCTATTTCGTATGATATAAAAAGAAGAGGTGACGATCTGCCCAATTATATTGATATCTAAGAAAACAATTCATGTATTAACTGAAAAGAATTAATATTCTTTTCAAATGCCATAATTATTAGGTTTGACGTGAACGAGCTATGAAAGAAAGGCCATAATAAAAAGCATTGTTCTAATTCCACACAACCTTAAACTTTATTCCGTTAAGATTTAAACTTTGCGTGTTAGAAGGCCATGAGATGTTAAGAACAAAATGATTGCTACGGCGCTTTATTGGAACAATGCAAATTATTGCTATAACTCGGTGTTATGGTTCTATTTCTATAGGCATTAATTATAATGCGAAATACATTTACATATAGGAAAAATGTTTTATACGGAATTTTTTTAAATAATATACTTCTTTTATTATTGAAGGGTCCCGCGATTGATCACAATCTCACTTGTTGGAAATAATGATGTGGTTTGTGATGGAGCTCGAGGGTCTACGAATAGCCTATTCACATTTGCCGTATTATTATTATTATACAGCCGTTACCTGTCTACTGCTAGACATAAGGGTAGGGGGGGGTTGTCAATAATTGCCACAATTGGCAGGCGGTTTAGCATCCGAAGTTAAGCTTTGTAGATGTTTTAAGAGGGACGCTATTTGGTTTCATTAAGTAAATAAAATTTATTTGCTTTCATATTGTTAACACTTTACATAAAATGTTTTATTCGTTTTCTCTCGAGAGCAGAACCTGCTATCTTACATTACATGTAAAATTTAGAAAAATTTTTTGCTTGGTAGATGCATAAGAGAAGTCTATAATTATAGAATTTTTCGTTTTACAATCCATTCATTTTATTAGTAAATATTAATAATTATTTTTATAAAGGATGCAGTAATGCGTAAAAAGAAATGATGTTTTTTTTTATTTAATTATATTTAAGCAACTTTGTTTTGCTAATTTAAAGATAATCATTTTAATAAGAATTTAAATGATTACAATATTTCAATATCAATGCAGATTTTAATAACAATAAATTATTGTATTCTGTCAAAAGAACTATATACAAAAAGGTAATCATCAGACGATATTATATCAGTTAAATGTTATTACATTATATGGTAAATAATAGGTATTTACTAATAATTTACCTAATAATACTTAGTAATAACTTTGTATGATTGCGATAT